TTCTTTATGCACCAAGAGCTTGTAACACTCCAAAGAGAAAGGAAAAATTTAAATAGCATCATATGACCCCTTTAATTATAATATTATTATATTATTAATATAATTAATTACTAATTCTAAAAATGAAGACAGAAATTGATTACTGTTGTACCATTAAAAAAAAAAAAAAAAAAAAAAACTATATTGATTTTGTTTTGCATTTCAAGTTATAATACTAATATATTTTCAAATTCTTCACATTCAAACGTTCAAACCCTTGAGTGTTTCATATTTCAAATCCTCAAGCTTTTATTTTGGCGGAATATCGGTGAAATGCTGTAAACTTCTGTCCACAAAAAGGTTGTAAATGATGTGAATGTGTAAATAAAGTGAAGGACGTGAACGTTGCATTCACAAATGCATGTTAAACCTGCAGAGATTGAGTTGTCTAAACAACGTAAAACAGGCGTAAATCAATAGGTCGTATATATCTAAATTATAGCTTTGCAAGACGGTTGCATCGAATCCCTCAATGCTATTTGTTCTGTTCTTTTGCAACTATAAACTAGCACAGCTGATTAGTGTACAAATGCTTTGCTATTTAAAATAGAAGGACCGTGATTGTTGCACAGCTGTAAATGGTCCCTTTTAAACTGCAATCCTACAAGTCAAGAACATGAGTAAACATCAGCTTGGAGCAGGAATTAGTGTTGTGAAGTAAAGAGACGTCTGCGCATCTAATCTGCTCTTCTCAGGGGTATTTTGGGCAACTGGCGGGTGGATGATGGGACGGTGGACACTTCGTGGGGCATGAACACGCGATGTGAAGAGGACGCAGACCGAGCTGCTGTAGATGGTCATTAAAGGGAGTGGTGTATTAGAGGTAAAAAATGATATAAATACTGTTCAGTTTCTGGCACAAACCGATCGTTTCGTGTCTTAGGACATCAATGTGTCGTCACGAGCCGCAGGGTTTAATTTGGATTTGTCTGTGCATGTTTTTTTTACTCATAGATTTTGTTACCATTGCCATGCATTATACGACTGATAGACTCCAACGGTTGGACTTAAAAATCATAATTTGTGTTCTACTGAAGAAACAAAGTCACCTACATCTTGGATGCCCTGGGGGTAAGCAGATAAACATCAAATTTTCATTTTTGGGTGAACTATCCCTTTAAGTGCTGTGAAAACAACAAACTAAAAACCCATTGTGTCTTTGTATTCTTAAGGCCGTTGTTTCACGTAATCCTTAAAGATGGGTTGAAGGAGCCAGTTGTGAGTGTAACAGTAGTCTCCATCTCAGACGACACGCCTAAAGACTGTTCATGGATCTGATTCTAATGTTTAAGTTGTATGTTTGCTTTGAAATGACAAGATCTTATCTTTTCTGATTGCATCTGTAGAACATTGGATGAGGTTTTTGACCTTTTGTAGATCTTTTGTAGCATTATAGATGTCTTTACTGTTTCTTTTGATCGGTTGGCACTGGCAGCAGTTCTTGTATAATATTTACACATGAAAGGCATGTGGAGCATAAAGTGGGTAATGCCGAAGTGTGACGTGGGCTGTTGTGGTGTAAAATGGCCAAGCATCATTGCAAACATTTGAATTGATCTGATCTGCTTCATGTGTGGCTCATGCATTCGGAGTTCAGAATGGAAACTGTTTTATAATATTATTAGTTGATGTCTGATTTATCATTTGCCATAAAAGAGCTGATGCACTTTCCAATAAAAAGAGAAATGTTTTTTTATGTGTGACATACTTAATAATTAATAAATACTCAATTAATATTCCCACATGGTTTTACACAACATAAACACTGTTAGACATTTCTGTAATTTTTCAAACACCACATACAGATATTGACTGTATTTTTTTTTTAATTGCTGTATACTAACGGCCTCTTTGGCGCCACTCCATTGAGGTTTTTAATTTC